CACCATTTAAAGTACACTATGGTTTGAATGAGTCCCTTTGAAAGTGCATGTACTGGAGATATTTATTCCCAAAGCAACACTGTTGGGAGTGGAGATGGACCTAATAAGAGGTCTTGAGGGATCTTCCCTCCTGAACCTAGTAATGCCATGATCACCAGAGTGGTTGAGTTTGTTATAAAACCCCCTTTCTCTCTTTCTCTCTATCACAGCTCATGCCCTCTCTTGACTTTTCTCATCCTCTCTTGCACTTTTACCTTTCACAACGAAATGACAGGTGTGGGCTACTTTACCTTGGACTTTCAAGCCTCCAAGACAGTAAGAAATATATTAATTTTTAAATAATTATGCAGGTTATGATATTATATTACAGCAACACAAAACAAACAGGTGAGCTCTCTTCTGGCGCCTTTGGATATATTTTCATTGTGGTAAGGACAGCACTCAAAGCTTCTGAAAGGCAAACCCTGTCCTTCACACTCTGCCTCTCCTTGCCTTCCATGTCATCTGTTGTCGTTTGCATCCAGATAGTTCTTCTAGAGGAAGCAATAGAATTCAGTGAAAAGAAATGGAATTTGGTTCAAGCCTTGACAAGTTTCTACCTCTAATGCTTCATAAATATGATCATTTACCTGATGGGGTGGGCATAATTGCAAGTGAACATTTGCCATAAAATGCAATGTACTATATAAAGCTACTGAATTAACATTCAGTTTTAAAAGACCTCAAGCAACCAGGCATGGAGGTGCACACCCATAGTCCCAGTGGCTCAGGAGGTTGAGGCAAGAGGATCACAAGTTCCAGACCAGACCAGCCTTAGCAACTTAAGCAAACCTCTAAGCAACTTAGTGAGACCTTGTCTCAAAATTTAAAAAAAAATGAAATAAAAGGGCTGGAGATGTAGCTCAGTGGGAAGTGTCTCTGGGTTCAATCTAAACTAAACACATAGATAGATAGATAGATAGATAGATAGATAGATAGATAGATAAAAAGATAGATAGATAGATAGCCTCAAGTTCCTTTGTTTGACCTTAGAAGACAGAGAGAATAAAAGAGAATAAAAAATAAAAGAATTTTTCAAGGAACACAGGACCAATTAGAGATAGAACTAGAAACAGAACCCAGATTTTCCAACCCCTTCCTCCTTACACTGCCCCTGTTAGACAATGAAGTCAATACAATCATGTATGCAAAGCCCTAGCATAGTGCCAAACATGCACTAGGTGCTTAATAACTGTTGGCTGAATAAATATGTGAGTGAACAGATGAATGAGTGAAAGACTAGGCTTCATTTTTGATGATGACTTTTTACAGGTTTCCCCCAAATGTCACTTATGTTTTTAATCATTTTTTAATTAGCTCTTTATTAAGAAGCTTAGTTCTTAAAGTGTACTTAAGAAGATTAGATGAACTCATGTGCTAAAGTGCTTAGGAAGAGTTTCTGGAAGTCAATAAATGTTAACTAATTATTTTCTTTCTGTTTTCTAGTCATTATTTTAAATAAGATTGTGCTGATGCTGTCAGAACTCACTAATCTATAATCCACTAATGAAAGGAATAGGAATTCTGGAATTGCATAAGTACTACCACTAATTGCCATCTCCTATCCCATGCCTATCCTGGGTCACCCACACCCAACCCTTGTAGTTGGTAACCAGCAAGACACAAACAAAATCCTGGGTTCTCTTTGTTTCCTTCTTTGGGCTTGAGTTTACTCAGCCCCTGATGTTTGGGCCCTGTCTCCCACTCCCAGCCCACATTTACCTGTTGGACCTGACAACTGAGTTGACTTTATTCATTTGACCCTCTTGCTCTCTATTTTTCCAAAACCAACCTCAATCAAGAGTTTGGAAGTTCCATTTTGTTCTTTCCATTCCCAGCCACCCTGGAAGCTCCACTCTTAACCAAGGTCCATTCCCTTGACTAAGATCATGCAGTTACATCTGCCTTTTAAGGGTCAGACACTCATTGTAACCTTAGTAGTCATTACAGACATTGAGCTTTGGTACTCTAGACAGGGAGATAGAACTGTATTCCAGGAAAAGGAATAACGGAATTTCACTAGAAATTATTCATTTTTCTACTTGAGTTGTTGTGTTAACTGAACTGGCTTTCCACACTCCTCCTTCCCATCTGTCGCCTATGGTCTCCCCAGTCTGATGCTGCTCAGATTCAGCCTGCCCACCAAGAACGTCTCCCAAATGCCTTGTTGGATGCACTTGTTATTTTTTCTTTAAGGGCTTCTTCACGTGCATGTGGACAAATTGCCATATGTGATCTAGATTAGTCACCAGAATACTTAAAGGTTTTTTTCTGATTTTCTGCATATATCTGAAGATTTGTCAAGCCCAAAGACGATGCTTGAGCAAATGTCAGTAAACAAGAAAGAGCTTTGATAAATTCATCAATTATAGTTATACTGACAGTTCTAGTGTGAACACAAAATACTTATTATTTTTTTAATCTCTTTGTCTTGTGGTAGATTTCCATTTATTATCTTTTCATCTGTTAATTTTATAGCAAAACTCCACTTTATCCCACCCAGAATATGAGTTTCTTTAGAGCGTGGACTTAGTCTGTTAATATTCCCAGCTCTTTCCTCAACACACAAAACAGCACGTAGTAAATAACAGGCACCCATTAGTGTTTGTTGGGTACTGAATGAATGAATGAATGGATAGCAGATGGAGTTGTCCCATCAAAGAGATATTAGTTCAAGTTTGGGTGCCACTTCCCAGCTATGAGAATGCTCTGAATTCCAGCTTCTTAGCTAGGAACATGGCAATAACAGTGCCCACCTCATAGGTTTTGAGGAAAGAGTTAGAGAATAATACATATAAGGTTCTTAGAACCATAGAACATAAGGACCTTAGCACAGTATCTAGCATCTCTTCAGAACATAGTAAAGGTTGACTGGGGCCCAGGGATATAGTTGGACCCATGGAAGCGGAGCTGCCCAACTAGAGATGTGGTAGGAGAGACCCAACCACTGGTAGACTCATGCCATAAGGAAGGCAGGCAGGGAGTGAAAGATATGTGACATGCTTGTCTCCCACCCTCAGACTACTGAGTAAAGCCCCATCTGAAGCTGAAGGGAAGGGAGTCATAGGAGCAGACCTACAGGACACACAGCAGGTATGGGGCACGTGTGGAAGCCTGGGCAGAGAACAACCAGAGCTAAAATAGTGTGCCAGGCATTTCATACAAATGAATGAATAATAGATGAGTAAATGATGTGAACGCAAGGTCTAGCACTCAAACTGCAGAAACCATGATCTCTTTGGCTTCCTGCCCCAAAGCCCTCATTACTGCTGTTCAGTGTTCCAGATTTTCCAACCCCTATATACTCCCAATCTCTTTGTCCTTTCCTAACCTCTGCTAACCTCAGGGTTTCCATCAAAAATTTTAATTTTTTTTTTTAAAAAGCATGGATTTTATTTAGGAAGTAACACAAAGGAACAGGAGTTGTTCTGAACAGAGCCAAGACACTATCAAAAAGAAAGCTGTAATAATTCCCAGAATCTAAAACGCACACTAGAATATTCAGAGTTTTAAAAAATGAAAATTTCAGTGTCACTGTGCCCTATGAAGAAAAATGGATAGTTTCTGAGAAGCCTGCTCCAGACATCTGTGTCACAGGCTCTGGATTCACAAACACCTCATTACCAAATGCCTTGGGACTGGATGTCCTATGCCCAAATGACTCTTGTCACATCCTGGGTTTTGGTTCAAAATATGTATCTGGGATCCTGATTCATGATGCCGATGGCAGCAGCAATGTTGAGAAAGTGGTGAGTGTGTGAGAGAGATGCTCAAGGGTTTGAAGCCAGTTGTAGCCATCCACAGCTTCCTGCCAGTCTCTTCCTCCTTTGCCAATAGAGTTGCTGTGGAGAATATTCAGCACTGACGTCCTCCAGGGGTGATGCTTAAGATCCTGGATTTTAAGGACTTAGAAATGATTTGAAAGCCTTGTTTGGTTTGCTACTCTAGTTAGATTGTTTGCTTTTTCATGGAATGTGAAAGACAAAAATGGGCACTAAATTAGGCATTGCTGACCACATATGAAAGCTAATTTTAAAAAGGAGCTGCAGACATATATGGGCCTATTTTGTATTCAAGTTCTGAAATTATTTTTTCCTAACTCAGATCTACATCGCTAGCAGTCCTCCTGTCATGCCCCATAGGCCAAGCCAGCCAGTCCCCAGAGTTTAAACATTCATTCATACACAAAAACTAGAGTCAGAATTGCTAGCAGAAATAGGACAGGAACCGCAGTTCCTGGTGAGTACCTACATAAGCCGGAACCCCACAGCCCAGTGCTTTTCTCACCAAAAGTTACTAAAAATTCAAAAAGCCTTCTCCTAACAATGCATATTATAAGCCAAACTAGAGCTTCAGGTTATACTGGCCACAGTCCCAATTTAGCTGTGGCTGTGTCAGGATTTATCAACAAATTCCACTCAAGATCTCCAAGATCAAATTTCAGAAAATCTAATCTCAATTGGGTTGACTGGCAAAATCTGAGTAAGAGGTATAGACTGGACAATAATATTGGATCACTGTTAATTTTTTTTATTCTAATCATTGTGCTTTGTTTATGTAAAAGACTATCTTATTCTTAGGAAAACAAACTGAAATATTTAGGGACAAAAGAAACATCACGTCTGTGACTTATTCTCAGAGGATTTAGGGGAAAAAAAACATGATTTTTGTACACAGAAGAGAAAGGATGATAAATCAAAAGTTGCAAAATAGTAACAATTAGGGTATCTGGATAAAGGGCACTTTTTATTTTATTTTATTTTGCCATTTTTGCATCTTTTGTAAGATTTAAATAACTTCATAATAAAGTTGACAAAAAGCTACTTCCACAAAATAAGAGCCATCATGTGCCTTTCACTGAACTGACAGCGTTAAGCACAGTAAGTGCTACACAGGAAGCCAGAAACAACATCTCCTACTTTTGTCATGCTGGAGCTAAAATGAGTCATTTCCTCTTTCAGCTGAAGATGCCTTTCCCTATTCGTGGAGGTGAGCACTAAAGATGCTCTGCACATGAACACTGAAGGTAAGAGGTCTTGATCCTGTGCCCTCTGTCACACCGCCCTGTTGTCCCTTTCATCCAGCCAAGGGCAGAGATTCAAGGGATCGTTCAGACAGATCAATTCAAACCCATCAATGTTCTCCAACAGATCATTCTGTTATCCTCAAAGGCCTATTCAACCTCCCACCCTGCCTGGCTTAGAAAACCTGATGTTCATCCCCTTTTTAATTTTTCTCAAAGAAAAACAGAGTTTATTAATAGTTGATATCTCTTACTGGTGCAATTAGGGAATTCTTATAGTTTTCTGTGCTTTAGAGGTTTTCGAAAATGGCTGTGTCTCCCTACACCCAATTGGTATGTTGAAACTCCTATATAACAGGTTCCTAATTGTCCCCACCTATCACTGCCAAGGAAACTCTAGGATGCCAAGACCAGCTAGTAAATAGATGGTGAAGTAATATGACTCCATTTCTTCTGATGGAGAAAACAAGCCCCATGGCTTGCCTTTGTATTCTACAGTCAAAGGGAATCTACAGGTTGGACATGTGTAACCCTGAGGCTGCATGTGCTCTTTCAAATGTCTTGAAGAACTCCTGAAGATAGAAATCCAACTAGATTATTGGTTGAAGAAACTTCTAGGCAAAAACTTCCTGGAATTTCTTAGAGCTACTACATGGTGTTTACTAGTCTTCCAAACATGAAAAAGTGATAGCCCTTTGAGAGACATCTTCTCCTTCAGTGTCAACCAAATCTGAACCTCTCCCTCTGGGCCAGACTTTCTGAAACACTGTTGACAGTCTAGGTCAAGTGATTTTTTTGTCCAGGGGCTGTTCTGTGCATTCTAGGATACTTAGCAGTATTCCCATCTCTTCCCACCAAATACCAGCAGGACCCAATCCTAACCGCAGCTTTCACAAAGAGCAATATCTTCAGACACAATCTCAGGTTCTGGGAAGGACAAAATTTCCCTCAGAAATGAGAGTAATGTTTCCAGACATTGCCAAACATCCCTGGTTGGGGCAAAATCCCCCTTTTCAAGAACTGCCACTGTAAGTTACCTCAGCCCAGCATGAGCTTCTTTCTGCCTTTTGTGCCAATGGACTGAAATTTTATAGTGTTTAGGGTAACATTAGCAAATACATAGAGGAAGGATGCTATGGGTCATCAAGAAATGCTTTAGATACAATAGGACCCTGTGGAATAATAACCCTGCCTGGGAATATCAAACTGATGAATCAATCAGTCAGACTTCTGCAAGTTTCTTTCTCCTTTCTGGGCTCTGTCCCTTACTGCCAAATGCCCCATGCTACTTACTGGAAGGACAGGCAAGTGAGGGAGAACCATGTCATATTGAACATTGTGGGAGTCCTTTCCTTTAGGAAATCCAAGGGGTCTGGTAACCACTGTACAGTTTGAACTGCTGGCAAAACACTGAGGTATTCAGCTGCAATTTTAAAATTTCCATATGTATTTGTTTATTGGCCACATATTTGCACAAAATATTTGAAATGGAGTTTTCAGTTTACTATATGCAGTTTTCTAGGTTTTTAAACAAATAGGCACACATTATGGACAGCACCTTAACTAAAAATCCTATTTCCACTCCCAAAGTAGTGTGGAGCAGGTAAGGGGGGTGGTAGCAGATTTACTTGTGCTAGCAGTTGGGAAAGTGAGGCCCTGAGATTAAATCCCGAATTGCCAGCATTGGTGTGCATTCATTCTGCTCACCTCCAAGTGCCCCTCAAGGTCGTTTCATTCCTTGGTTGACCTCCTTTCATGACATCTACTCCCCATTATCCTCCACCTTTTAACTAACCTGGTATTTGGTTTGCAAAGGAGCTTCCAATGCCAGTGGGTATCTGTGAAAGCACAGGCAGGAACTTGAAAGCAATTATAAGATCAGCCAAGAGAAACAGAAACACAGCTCAGTTTCAGGATGAAAAAAAAAAAAGACATCCAAAAAGCAACATTCATAAGAAGAATGCAAGGAGGGTTTAGAACTCAGTAGAATCGTAATTTCTGCCCAACACTCAGCCAAAAATACCATAGTCCGTGGTGTGGCCTTTAATCTGGTTTCTGGTCTAGGACTTAACTGCTAACTTTACAATTGTGTCCCAGTGGTGAGGATCACAACCTACCAATCACTCCTTGGCACTTCATCCCCAGTGTGGAGCAATCTGCCTGGCACCCCAGATTCTTCCTGGCACCCCAGATTCTCTTGCAACAGTTCTGGCATCCTTTCGGCACTGCACATTTCAATCTCCTACCTCCAGCCCTGTTCCAGGTACCCATCACACTTCGCTCCTTAATTCTCCAAAGATTATAAGAGACTGGAAGAATTTAGAAGCAATCCAGGGCACTAGGATGTGCCCATCCATCCAGTGTGTTTTGAAGTGTATCTAAAACTCTGTCCACCTGATCTTTTCAACCTCCACTTATCTGCCAAAGTCCCTCAAATTCCTATTATTTAAGCTGCTGCTTATAAGTAAAGTACAGCATTGCTCAAAACCTGCTCACTTACCTAAGAGGGAGAAGACCCTAGTTTTTCAATAGCAATTTGTTTATGAGACTTGCTGGTGTTTCTCTAAAAAGAGGGTCTGGGATTAGAACTAAGGTCAGATGAGTTCTAGTTGCTACAGAAAGACTGAAACAATTGAAATTTGAGCTGTCACCTATCCTGTCTGATCCACAAGCTACTAGCCACATCTGGAAAATGTAAATATAAATAATTTTAATAACATTAAGAATTTAATTCTTTGGTCAAGCTGGGTACATTTCAAACATTCAACAGCTACATGTGGCTAATGGCTACCATATGAGCAGGGAAGATCCAGAACAATTCCATGATCCCCTAAAGACCTATTGCACAGCAGTCCTCTAGATTGAACTGATTCTGCCAGGGGGAAGTTCTGGAAAGGAGAGACAGCCCACCATCACAAGCTCCACTGAGGAGGATGGAGAAGAACAGGAGATGGAACGGAGTTCCAAAGACAAGATGACAGGGGAGCAGACAAAAAAAAAAATTGTGTGCTTTGCCAAGTGCCCATCCCTGAGCAAACATGCATGAGCCTTGCCACAAAGCTCTTGAAAATAAGGAAGTGAATGGGTTTGACTCTGAGGCCCATTTTTTCCATTGTCTGACCCTGGGCTTCTGTAAGCTTCTTGTGAAACAAGAGATCTCCTAGTCCCTGAGGCTTTGCTCACACACAGGTACCTGTGGCTCCCAGCCAAAGGAAAATCACCAGGCACCTTGGCAGTATCCAAGAGCTGGGAGCCTCTAAATCAAAAGCACCTGGGAGTAAAAGATCATCTTCTCTACCTGAGACTAGATGTCAACAGAGTCGGAGGAACATGAATGGTTTTTAATGCAATTTCACCCTTTCTGAAGACAGTGAAGGAGCAACCGTCATCCTTTACCAATGTCAGTGGCTCCTATTTGCATAGCACTTTGCAGACAGGTGGAGCACTTTCACAATAATCTTTTATCTTATTCTCAAAATAATTGACTGAGGGAAGTAGAGCAGATGTGACCCTCTCCACTTTATATAAGAAGAAATTCATGCTCAGAAAGAAGAGAGGTGTCGAAGTCAACATGGCTGGAAATAGCAGAACTAGCCTTAGAAACCTTCCACCTCTTCTGTTTGGAGCTCACATCACCTTTCTCAAGTGATATACGGGTTATTTAGAACCTGTTGAAGTCCCCAAGTATGTCAGCCTAGGGTGTATGATCATGGATTATGCTGTAAACTCGGTTCATGCCCATCCCCAAGCCAATGGCCAGGGAGCTCTTCTTCACAAAATGACTTATGTGAGCTCATGGAGAGGGCAGAAGGCCTCCTGGCTAGAAAGATGGTATGACTTCTCCCAGCAGAAACAATGTTGATGTTCTGATAATGGCAAGGGGAAAAGAGTGTTCATGGCTCTGTTTCATTCAGTAGCACCAGGTTTACTGAATCTATTTTACCATGCAAAAGGCTCAAGGAAGGTAATGCTTTCCTTGCTCCAAAACAGTCTGCAGTGAGAGACCCTTGAACAGTCCAGTGGGTTTTATTTTCTAGAACGCCTGTCCATTTATAAGATTTTCAGTAGTCTGTGGCTAAATATATATGACTTATTTTCAAATTTGAGAGAACTTCTTGCTCATAATGTACATGAGCCACTTACATACTTGGCTATATAATAGATCCCAATTCTATATTTTCTTTTGACAGCATGCATATAAATAAATAGATATGCAGAGTAATTATTGAACTTTCCTTCTAATGAGCTCTAATACTAAATCAGCTCCTGTCAAGAAAAATCTTAAAAATTCACAGGATAAATAAATAAACAAAGCAATATTGAGGACAGATGATAAAAACCAAATTATCACTTTTAATATGCCCAATAAAATAATAACCCTAGCAACACATGCCTTTCCTTTCCTTTATAGCAACATTCCAATACTTCTCCATTAAGATCCAAATTTTTCTCTACCTCTAATCTACCACTAGATTTGACAATTAGACCACTGAGCTTTCCGTGCCAAACTGGTGAAATCTTCCCGAGGCAAATGGGCCATGCTGGACTACTTTGTGGTGGGACCTCTACTTCCTCCCAAGGCTGAATGAGTAGAGATTCCAACTTCCCTCCTGCATCCTCCTGTGGCCCAAGACCCCGTTAGGATGCTTTGATCAACAAGCAATAGCACGCCTGGCTAAAAGTGGATTGAACACTGGGTGTATAACGCTCACCGCGTCCCGAGAAAACCATTTGCAGGTTTGACTTAGCAGCTCATGACATTTACAAAGAGCCACCCTTTCCATCTGGGGAGGCTTCCTTCCTCCCAACCCCTCTTTTTTTCCAGGGAGGAAAGATTTCCCCAGCAACCCCCAGAAAGCTTCTGCTATGTCTTAGTGGCTAGAACTAGATGGGATGACCACTCTTAAACCAATCATAGACTTTAGGCAAATGAGATGACCATGATCAGCTCGGAATGATACATGCTCATGCCCTGAGGCTGGATACCTGATTCCTGGCAAAAC